GAATTTGCACGTCCCTCTATCCCTGTCGTCTGTCCAATCTCGTTTTGGAGTGCAGATGCCCACTGACGATCTCTTGCCCCTCTCACTCCTGTCATGCACCTGGATCTCTCGCCGACGCCACAAGACTTGGAGCAGCCTCTGGCAAAGGAAAGCGCACGAGAGAATCGAGAGAGTCACGTCTGAAGTTTACTTCTCATTTTACTTCTCCAGAATGCCCGTGATGCTGCCTTCCCAATCTCCCCAATCGCTCCACTTGCAGTCCACCGGGCAGACTTTCACCTACGCAAAACCGGAACACTACGCCTTCTCGTGGAAGCATACATGCAAAAATGGCAAAAATGACGTCCTGGCACTCGGCCGATGCGGTGGTATTTCCAACGCAAGGTTTGCCTGCACTGCGCTCAGGAACCCTGCTCAAGCACTCGCAGCGGCAGGAGCCTCCGTACTCTGGGAGTTGGCTCGGGTCGCGAGTCTTCACCTGCCACGGAGCGGTGGTTTGCGGCTGGTTTGGGGCGCTTCTGCACCGTGCGTTTCTGCCCTTTGCAACTCCGAACAAGTTCTTTCTACAGGAGGCATGCGCAGCAGCACTGGTTGTTGCGTCAGCAACGGCAGCAGCCACAACAGCGAAAGCAGCAGCACCGCCACGCCACAACAACCACCATGACCCAATAACAGTAGCAGCACCAGCAGCACATCATCACCGGCAGCACCACCTTCAACACGACCCCAACAACAGCAACAGCAACGGCAACTCGTCCCACACCTTGACGGGCATCGGGGAGTGTGAAACTGTTGCTTACCTGGCGGGTTGAAAGCATCAGAAGACTTTCGAGGTGAAGCCTGGCATGCCGTCCCGAGAGAGGCTGCGCATGCACGCTACAACCGCTCCAAGGAGTCTGCACTGACAAGTCCTTTGACAAGTCCAGAGCTTAGGGCAAGCTCGTCAGTGAGCCGTTGGCAAGCAGCACTGAATGGATCAGTCAGTGATTGGTTTTCCGCAATTCAGTCCATGCTGGTCAGGTCTGGCGCACTGCTCCATATCTCGCTGTGCACTGCTGAGACTGCACTGCCGGCAGATACGACATCCATGAAGTATGTTTGCTCTACAAACCGTGGTCGAGCTGCTTCTGGGATTCGCTTCCAAACCTCTAACTCTAACCACATGACCAATGGACTCTCCTGTAGCCAAGAAGTTTCTAGCATGGTGCGTAGCACTATCCGAGAAGAGGCTGGGATTTGCGGTCATAGCAGCAGAGATACTGCACAGCAAGCTCTCGAACTTGTACCTCAATGAGGTCCGGGACAAAGCCTATCCAGGTTTGTGCTCGCTTCGGAATGAATTTTGTTAACTATAGTTGAGCTGGTTAGGCTAGGGATGATGTAATTTGGCAGGCTGCCTCACCGTATTTTTCAAGAATTTCGAGTCAAGCACGAGCTCAAATTCTGTGCGCCCCCGCCACTTAGAATTTGCCTAACGACCAGTCGGGATATAGATAATGTGTAGGTCGCAGGGGGAACTCTTGCATGTTACGCATTTTTGCATTGTAGTTGTCCTCTATTGTTCGGCGACGTCCGTCAACCGAAGACTCCTAGCGCCAGCAGTTGTGCTGACGATGGCGTGAGGAGATCTCTCCGAGGCTCCGAATGAAAACAAGTCAAGGTATGCCGGATTGTGTCGAAATACCAGTGTGTAGGCTCACCAAGAGGGAGATACTGAAACCTGTTTCCTTGAACTCCGCCCCACGGCAATCCGGCTGGAATTTTTTTGCGGTCTTCTTGCATCGGGGGGCTGAACGAAGTTTACGTCGGGCCGAACCCTGTCTTGCCATCAACTCCGCTGTCTCCTTCCAGTGTGTTTCTTGTAGGACCTGGACATCGCAGGTCTGCGGAGGCCAAGACTTGATTTCTGACCATTGCGGCTGCCCGAAATGCCCAGCTGCTCGAGACCTTGGAGGACTTGGAGGACGGGTGTGGCCGGCACGCTCGGTGCCGCGGCGAACCTGAGCTGGACCTGACCTCGGTATGAGACCGGCTGTTGCTTGGCGACAGCCGTCTTGCATGCATGCGAAAAAAGACTTCTTCCGAATCTGAAAATAGTTTTGTGAGCGCACCGGCAGCATTGCCGCCCGCACGAAGCAAGCTAAGTGACTTTCTCCACCGCGCGGAAAGTGGAAACCCTACCGACTGCCCAGTAATCAATGTCACAGACAGCGACTGGGTCCAGGAATTGGGACCTGGCGGACCAGCCGGTTCAGTAAGCACGGAGGCACATGGCTCGAGAAGGGGCACAATCCTTTACGTTGCCCTGGGGTCGGCTGAGACCACTAGCAAAAGGAGTTGCGCCCAATGCTCGATCGAAATCCTCCTAGCTGCGCGGCCGTCAGGTCAATGGCGGCTACAACAACAACCGCCACAATCAACACGATGACGGCCACGATGGCGACCACGACAACGTGTCACCATCACCACGCAGGCACAAAAACATCAACACGGATTGGAAGCCCAACAGCCGCCTTGGTTCCAAGTCCACAAGTTGCCGAACAGCTTCCCCAGGGAGCCCACTCATCCCAGACCTCATCATCGAAACCCGTGCGAGTTGGGCTGTCCTCACCTAAACACAACAGCTCTTGCTTTGAATGTTCCCAGCCAAGCAGCACAATCAATCGGGCAAGGGTTCGTGTTACAGTCGCGACTTTCTTTGTCGTTGTTGTCGCAGGCAGCCTTGGATTCTGTTCGAACATCTAAACACGTCCACTCACAGACATGAGCTCGACGTCTGCTGCAGGCATCACCAGACAGCGCTGAGCGGCGCCCTTGCCTTGTGCCATTTGGCGAACTTTCCGAGTCCGAATGGATTCTCCTCAGTACTTTCGAGACGGGTCGGCTCGCTTCAACACTTGCGCAAATTTGGAAAGTGCCTCCACCACAAGTGAACTGGCAGGCGCTCCACTCGGCCCACGTCTCCCACTGACAATCGACCTTGCTTCGCCACGGGCAGTCAAAGAAGGACCTACCTAGAACCTTTCGCTAAGCCGCGTCCGCTCCAGCGTCGACTTCGCCGACGGGCGAAGGGGTGGGCAAAGGACTCGAAGCTGTGCTGGTAGTCTTCGTGGTGGATGCCATCGCTGTGGACGACTGAAGTGTGGTCTCAAGCTCCTCTTCATCTTCCTCCGTCTCCTCACTCTCCGGCGCTCTGGCATGGGCCTTTCCAGCTGCAACAGCTTTGGCCACCGACGCTGGGACAAACGGGAGTGTGCGATGTGTGTGAGTGCCAGCTTGGAAAACTCTTGGCCTGCGAGGACTTGGCGCGAACACTGGCAAAGCTCGAGTAGGTGGCTTCTGCCTTTGCATCAATGGCTCCGGCCTACGATGGCAAATGAATCCCGGACCACTTTCGAAAAGCGGTGCTGTGAATCACGCACGTGAGCCTTCTTCACTTCTGCTTTATCTCGAGAATCACTGCCGCCCCGAATAATCGTTCTTTGCACAAGTCCATCTTTTGTAACCTGGCAATGGGGCCATTTACTACGACGCGTGATGACATATTGGCAGACTGCCACCTTGCCTCCATTTCTGTAGCTTCACCTCTGTCAATGTGTCTCTTGGCGGTGTCGCTGATGAACTGACTGCGCCTCACCGACACATGAATGTCCACTTGCCTGCTTCCGGCCGCCCTGCACCCCATAAAGAAGCCCTCATACTCCGATTATGTCGAGAGTCGGTGAGGAGACGGCACCCAAGATTCGCATGGTTGTGAAGAGGTAAATGAATTGCATGAGGCAAGTGTTTCCTGCAGGGCAGACGCTCAGGTCGTGAGATCAACCAGCTGACAGCTCGTCACATGATTGCGGTTTGTTCCCGCTCACCAAGAGAAATTCTCCCGTAAAGGCGCCTCCATAAGACTCTCTGCACCATCCATTATCCATTAGTCAGGGAGGCAAACGAACGATTACCGTTACCGACATGAAATTGCACTACATGGCCGTCCGCCCGGGTGAGAACAGAATAGTACTTACATTCGGCCTTTGTGTTAACGTAGCATTGCCTTCTGAAATCGCAATGGCCGATGTCTGTCGTGGGAGCAAGTGCTATGCCCAGTGCACTTGCAAGCTGCTCTCGGCTTGCTCGTCACTCTTCTACTGCACAAACGAAACCCAACGAATCATCAGCATCGGCCGGTCCTATCATGTTTGCAGGATTCCTCGGATTGACTCCAGCACTCGTCCAAACTTGATGATCAGTGATACTACGTAGGGTGATGAGTCCGACTGAATCAGGTAAAAGGAGCAACGGACGACGTCGTAGCACTCGTCCTGTCGCCGAGTTGCAGACATGCAGCATCTGTCTTTGGCATGCCTACGGTCCGGTGCATCGAAGACTTTTCCACTTGTGGAAGATATTTTGAGCTAATTCAGTCATGTGGCAGAAAACGTGAAGACCTCAGTATTTGGAGCACAGCTTGCGGATATCTGCGTAATGAAAAATTGATCTGGTCTCCGCGGCCTCGCTTTCGTTGGAAGCGAGCTTCTATGTCTGGAAAAAATGGATGGCGGGCCACATTGAAAATGCTGCCGGCGACCCGTGCACACACACACACACATATATATATATATATGTGTGTATATATATATGTGTGTGTGTGTGCGTGCGTGCAACTCTTCTTCCGAAGGATGTAGGTGGCATTAGTGCTCAGAAAGCAGGCGGATGGAGCAGGCCTGTGGAGCTCCATCTAACAATATATATATATACACACACACAAGCACACACACACACACTCACACACGCACACGCACACATTTTGATTCGACACTAGGTTGAGAGCATGCCGATTGCATCTTTCCATCTCTCCAACATGAAGCAGGAATGCCAGCCAAGGCGCAGTCGTTCAGCTCAATGCGGGCATGGGACATCCCGTCTACTTTGAGCCAACAACTCTTTAGCCGGTTCCGATGGAGCCCATTTGAGTAAAGCAGATAACGGCCAGCTATGGCCAGCTGAATTCACCTGTTGACTTGGCCAAGACAAGAATAAGCCATGTGTAAACAGCGCAAGTCGAATAGCACCCTGGCTTCGACCTGCTTCGGAAACATCGACGAATAATCCCGTGCAGCTTCTGTGCGGCTTCTCTGCCAAGCTTCTGGCAGCAGTTCCGTGCCAACCACACCTGAGCAGAGCTGCTCATGAACTTTTGAACAGCACCGCCCTTACAGTGGCCATGATCTGAGGAATTAGCAAATCTCTCTGGAAATGCCTTCTGTGACTTTGCCACTCTGTTGTACGGGCGCAGCCTTAGGTAGGAAAATTAGCACAATGCAGAGGCCGTGAGAGCAGGAAGCCTGCAGGAAGCTGCAGAATTGCCCGGCCTTCTGTTGGAGCTCTTCTTCAGGCTTAGGAACCTCCTCCTGGCACACCACCCCGAAGAGAAAGCTGAACATCTTCTGCCCGCGTCCAACAAGCCTTTCGAGGAAGCCAGTCTGGTCGCCTAGACTCCGCCTGGCAAACGTTCACAAGAAAACCGATTCACACTGTCCGTGACACCGTGAATGCACCTTTTTCTTGGAGCTGCCACGGCTGAAGAAGGCCTTCTTGGGAGCCACAAGCGTGGAAGAATCTGCTTTGCGGCTGGAAGGGAGGGCGGGTGGACCTCCAGCGTTGCTGCCATTTCTTCCTCCTGGATAGCTCCCAACTGAACAGGCCACGTTGCCCGACAGGACAAGCATGCTTGACCGGTGCGAAACCTTTGCCGCAGCTTCTTCGACTTCTCGCTGGTGCAGGCACGTTCTGTCGATCGCCTCTTGTTCGAGCTGGTCCTGGCGGCACGATACGCCACGATTACGGAACGGGCTATCTGCCATCACTCCCATCGTTACTGCAGCGCGTGCGTCCTGCTCCTTGTCGTACTTGGCAAAACGATCCTGTTCCAAGCGCTGCCAAGCCCGCAGTACGAGTATATGGGCTTCTGTAGCCCAGCCTCCAGAGTCTCGCAGTTTAGTTTGTGCACCGGCCTGCAACTCAGAAGTCTGAAAGCCAACAAGCCATAATCTGTCAGCACCCAGGGTTCCCACCACGCGCGCTTCTGGCAAACTGCATCACAAAACAATGTGGTTTTGCACCTGCAAGCTAAAGTTTAGCCACTCAACACCCGTCAAATCAGCAACAAGCTTCATGAAAGGCAACACGGGCCTCTGGCAAGCCAATAAAGCTGAAGGGTTGCGGCACCTTCGTGCGGGGTTCCCGTTTCAGCATCGTTGGCTGCCTGCAAACTGAGCTGAACACTGACCGCATCCGACAGGAACTTGTTCCGGTGCCTGCAGATGCGTCGGCGGAATTTCAGAAAACGATACCAAAGACTGCACACAAAGCACAAAATACGACATTTCTCGGGTGCTGGCGGCTGTCATGGCTGGGCCTCTCTTGCTGAACCGCTGCAGAACCCGATCATCCTCGGCGTGACACGCATCAAAGCTCTGGAGCCTAGGCATTTTGTGGAAGGACCTCTTCAGACGGCAATCCCCCAACTCCTAGACCTTTGGCCCTGTTGCCAAGACCTGCCGAGCATTGCGGCGTGTTTCATCTTCAGTGTGCTTGCGTAAATCAAGCCAGGCAAGCGGTTGATGTTCGATCGCAGGCTGATTCGAGCCCCGTCGGGAAAGGCAATGACTTCCTTGCGGAATTGTTGCAATGCGCCAAGCACATTGACATCCGCGATGACTGAGGTGTTGGCCTTGGACCCTGGGCCGCATTGCATGCCCACACTTCGCATCTCTTTTGCAACAGACTTAATGCTGGTAATGTTGCTGCTGTGGCTCCTTCAAAGATGAATGCGGCATTGAGACTTGAGCCCCTGGGTCGATGCCATTATGCCCATAAACTACTCATGAACTCATGAAGCCATCCTTGCCCCCACACGCGGCATCATCCACACCTGCCACGCCTGCTCCTTTCGGAACCTCCTGCGAGAATCAATAGGGGGAGCGCACTTTGGCACTCCACAAAGAAAGCTTCACTGCGACACGTCGATTGGAGCCGTGGATACCACGACCGGCTTCTGTGGCTGACGTGCCAGTTTTTCGGCGACGTCAGCCGTCATGTTCGGAAATGGTCGAAGGAATTGTCGCCACACGGCAGGGAGTTGCAAACTCCCGGGCGCGAACGCCTTCAGTGCGGAAGCTAAGTAGCGTCGTTCTCGTCGAAAGTATGTATTGACTAGGCTGCCCACACCCTCGTGCATGCGCTGCCTGCACGTTGCGCCTGCAACATCAACATGATGTGCAGCAGGACTTGTTGACGAATCGAACTGTTGCGGCAAGTCGAGCTGCAGGAAGTAGTGAACGGCTCGCATCGTGGCAGCAGGTTCTGCCGAGAGCCCTTCTAGGCTCAACATAGCCAACTTGTCCCGGTGAGGCAACATGGCAACGAGTCTTTGCACTGCACTCGAAAAATGAGGTGAGGCCGTACTCAACCCTGTGCAAAGATCCCAACTTGACCTTGTCAGGCAGACCCGAATCCATTCAGTCAACGGTGCTCGCAATCTGTGTTCGCCGGCCGGTCCACTTGCCCAATTCGGCAACCGATGGCAAAGATTCCAGCGGTAGTGATCTTCTCCGCACAGAACTTTGCAGGTCTGCGACACCAGCCATGACCTGAAGTGGAGAAATCGCAAAGGAGTTGTCAGCCCTGGTTGACCGCAACTGACAACAAAGCAACCTACGCACATGCGCGAATGGTCATGTTGCACACCTCCCGAACTCTTACCTCCAAGGTTCACCTTCTGGCAGTCCATGCTGGGCAGCACGAAAACAGCATTGCGTTTTGTCTTTCCCGTTTGAGGTGCATTCCGTGAAGGTATGGACGGGAGCATCATATGTAAAGTTTCTATGGGGGCATGTGCCCCTTCCAGGCGCGACCACGCATGTTGCCTTTTTCTCAACGGAATTTCCGCCTTCGGGATCTAAAATACTCGTGTTTCAAGCCTGCGACTGCACGCTTCGGCGAAGTTGAACAGTCGAGCTCTGGAGCGGGCAGCTGGCTCGCGTGTTGGTCACGGCCTGGCTAAAGCCCACCGCCACCTCGGTCCATCCGGAGGTGCAGATCGCAGTACCAATGGGGCCCGTGGGCTCCGAGGCGATGTGTGTGTAGCTGGCCTGTTTGGCTCAGCGGCGACACCAGGCTCACGTCGCAGCAAGTCAAAGCGACCTGGAACGACGCCAATGGTAAGGGAAAGGAGGCTGCGACGAAGGCGTGCGTCGCGAACTGCCAACCTACACTTCCGCAAGGGCACGTAGTTGCCGACCATCCAAGTCCCAGGTTGGTGGGCCACACATGAGCTTGGTTGACAATAACGCCCGCGGAGCCTGCCACACTGCCCCGAACAATGCAGCTCGCCTTTCGCCGCCGTTCTTGCTCCACCTCGCAAGAATCGTTGCGGCCCGTCTCCCGGATGTGGCAGACTCGTCGATGAGTTCGGGGATCATGCCTTCGCCTGCCCCCGCACCAGCCGAGCAAAATCGTCAAACGGGCGTGGGTAAGGGTCGCACGAAGCCGTTGGGGCCTGAAGGACAGTTGGTCCGCAGCAGTGACCAAAATCCTTTTCGCTTTGACTGCTGGCAGCAATCAATGCGAAGCACACCGCTGCTCATGAGGATGCCGATCTGCTCGCATTTCATCTCCTTCGTGAAGGCGTCCGCGGGCATGGTCTCCACCCAGGTCGCTGTCGTGCTTGCGTTCTCTGGAGGGAAATCCGTCTTTTGCGTTTCGCCATATGACCTGCCTGAGGCCACTCGGGTCAATGGCCCAGCATTTGTCCAGCACGGTGTGCAAGCCAGCTTGCTTCAGGTGCTCCTCCAAGGAGCGGCAACACGGGGATCGCATCCATGGACTTGACCAGGTCCTTGTCGCTTTGGGGGCCACTGGCACATTGGCCATCGGGCTCGTGGGCGCTGCATGCTGAACCCGTCTGGCACAGGAATCGTATCCGCACGCACTTCTTCAGGTACAGGAGGCAACGGCAGCAGCCGGTAGCTCGAGTCCACATGGTGCTTGTAGTCCAGAAAATTCTCCGGCAAGGTCCTGGTTCTCCGGTCGGGTTGTCGGCCTTGCTCGGGGAGCCCAAAGAAGGTCCCGTGAGGCTGTCCAAGGCGAGGGCTGCCTGCAAGGTCACCGCCCAAGGAGTAGTCGTAGTCATCGTCTGGTCCGGTTCCACTCCTCTCCTCGCGCCGTCGCTTCCTCGACAGCCTACGAGTTCCCGGTTGGTGATAGCCTTTTTGCTATTTCATTAGCTTTCCTTAAAGTCAGGGGGTGGTCAGGGGACAGATCGGGCTCCAACCAGCCTACTACGGGACATAGCCTGCCGCACTTCTGTGCCCAATACGGCCATCGCTGATTGCAACTGTAGAGGGTGCCCTTTGAGAATCACTATTGGCAGTGAAGGTAATGGCCAGGCGAATTGCCTGATGCAGCCTTTCCTCCGCTCAGGGGCAAAGAGGGAAAAGGGAGCAAGCGCGTCCCCAAGGGATGCCCGCAGATCCAATGCCACGGTGTTGCCCTTTTTTTCATTCTGTGCATCTTTTGGCACGAGTCCCAAGGCCATACCGGCCCCAGGGATAAGTCGCGAAATTGTGATTGCTTAGCTAATTTTTGTTTTCTTTCGGACCTTTTTCCACCCGTCCACCGCAGTCGGCTCCCCTACATCCTACTCTGCCGCTACGGGAGGCCCGGGACACGGCTCGGCTGAGGCCCGCTGGTCCAACGGGCGTCTGCGAGGAGCTCGTGCAGAGCCGGAGCTGGTCCGGCAGCACACGGCTCAGCATGCAGCGGCAGCTCGAGGAACGTGGTTGCAAGCGCCCTTTGCGCAGCAACAGCGACGAGGCCGCTCCACCGGAGAACCCACGGAGCGCAGGCGGCGTGGCGGAAGCGCGGGCGCGCGCGAGCAAGCGGATGGCACATCGAGGTTCATAGCCGCCAAAGCAACGTTACGACCAAAGCGGGCTCCGGCTTCTTGGCAGACCCGCGCGATGGCCCGCTCGATCGGAACGGCTCGGGAGGCGAGGATGCCAGACGTGGCACAAGCAGCACGATGGTCGCCGTACTCATCGAGTGGGCCTCGGCAGGAGCAGGCACGCGGGCCAAGCGGCAGGGGGAGGCGAAGGCGACGGAGGAGGAGGATCCGAAAGTGGGACGAGGGGATGGATACATCCTCGGAGGTGGGCAGAACCGTGAGGGCTCGTGCGGAGTGTGGCCCGGCCTGTGAAAGCAGCAGCGCGCGAGAGGCTGGTGTGAGAGCAGAAAGATGCATCTCGAGCGCGCGCTCATCACAGGCGTGGGCAGCAGTCCGCTGCCACCCGCGCAAGCAGTCAGAGGGCTCGTCGCCACGGGGGCGCAAGTCGGCTTGGCCCAGAATCGCTTCTTCCCAACTAGCGACCTGCACGCCTTCGTTGCGCAAGTAGGCCGCTGCATGCGTGGCAGCTAGCACCGAGGGCATGCGGCCAGCAGCTGGGGCCCGGAATCACTGCATGAGGCGGTCAACGACGCTAGGGGCGCGGAGGCGAATGACCGGGAGAGTGTCCATCCAAGAGGCCCAGTAAGCGGCGTACCGGTCGCGGCTTGCTGCCCGGAGGCCGAGTCCACCAAAGCGCAGAGCGAGGTGCGCAGCGCGAGTCGCCTCAGGCGGCAGCGGGGCATCCGCACGGCCGAGAAGCGTGGCGAGGCAGTTGAGCATGGCTGCATCGTGCTGCTCTGCGTATTCAGCTTTGGCGGCCGGGGGCAGGGCACGCAGGAGGTAATTTGCGCGCGGGCCGGCGCAATAGTGCAACAGCAGCCACGAGGCTTGCAGGTCCTCGACGCGGGGGATGCGCTGGAGGAGACGGTCATGTTCCACGCGCTTGAGCTCGAGTCGCTGCTGGACGTACGCGTCATTGCCAAAGGCTGTGCCAAGGACCGTGATCCCCTGTTCGCGAGATGGTAGCGCCCAGTCCCCGACCCAGACCTGGGCGTCTTGGTGAAGCTGCGTGGCGGAGATTCCGGGAAGTTCCTCGCCGGCGGCGTTCCACACTCGGGTTTTGGAGCGGTTGAGCGCGACATGCGCGTGGGCCCAAAGCGCGCGTCGGCAGGCCTCATAAAGCTCGCACACCCGCTCGGGCGAGGACCCGATGTAAGTGTCGTCGAGGTAGGCTAGTATCGCTTCACCGTCCCTGAGCTGCGACTGCACTTCCTCGAGTGCGGGCTGTTGGGCGAGGTCGTAAAGTGCCGGCATCAAGGGGTCCCCCTGTTCCCCGCCGTCGCCCTGTGCTATACGATGCGTGGCGCCTGCTTCGTCAACCCAAACATGAGAGCTGGGAGAGCCATAGAATTGGCGGACAAAAGGGAGGAGCGGGCGCAGCTCCGGGCGGGCTAGGAGGGCGCCGAGCATGGCCTCGTGAGACGCATGGTCAAATGCACCCACTGCGTCCACGGAGAGGATTGTAGCGCGGGCATCGACCTCGGCAGCCGCGCGGAGGACGCGCGGCAAAGCCTCGCTGCCGGCACGCGTGCTGAGGCCGTATTGGTGAGGGAGGCAAGCATGCTCGAAGTGTGGTGCGAAGGCTTGTGCCAAGGTTCGCCCAACCAGGCGGCGTAAGGCATCGCAAACTACCAGCGCACGCATGCCGCGGCCATCCGGTTTCTGCAAGGCGACCATGCGCCCGACTCGCATTGCTGCGAGCGTCGGCGTGGGCAAGTCTTTCCGCGGCACCGTGGAGAAGTTGGCTGTCCTCCTCGTGGTCCGTG